CGCTGCACGTGGGAAGGGCAACAGCGGCCGCAGCAACGGCGGCTTGAGGGCAGGATGCGTGCAGCAGCCTGCTGCTGCTGATGGCAGCCTGGGTGGCGGCGAGGTGGGCAGCAGGCAGGCAGGCAGCATACTGGTTATAGCAGGGCAACCGAGCGCTGCTGTCCCTTCCATCCACCGCCGCCGCCGCCAGGCTCACCGCATCAGCCGCTCGTGGAGCGGGTTGAGGTTCAGCCTGGCAGCCTGTGCGGCGGCCTGCGCCGAGCGAAACGTGGCAAAGAAGCCGGCAGCGGGCATGGCCTCTGCCGCCACCAGCTGCGCCTCCTCAAACTCAGACTGCAGGTCTGCCAGCTGCTGCTCAGTCTTGGACACCTGCCGGGCAACCTTGTCCTCCCGCGCCGCCAGCGCGGCCAACCGCTTCTGCCGCCTGGCAATGGCCTTCTCAGATGGGGGAGCGGCCGGCACCGCTGGCTTGCCAGCTGTGCCGTTTCTTCCACCCCCCACGCCACCGCAACAGCCGGCAAACCATCCCGGCTGCTGTGGCGGCGGCTGGCTCCCTGCTTGCTCCACCTGCGCCTGCTCGTCGCCCTGCTGCTCCCCTTTCTGCTCCGCCTGCTGCTCCGCCTCGCCCTGCTGCTGCTCAGGATCCTGCTGCTCCCCTGCAGTCTCCTCCTGGCCCTGCCTGGGGCTGCCGCCCACCTCCTGCTGCTGCCTCTGCTGCTGCTTCTGCTTGAGCAGCTGCACCTGCTGCGCCAGCTCTTCCACCTGCTGCGACAGCGCCTGCTCCGCCTCCCCCGCCACCTCCAGCTCGCGCCGCTGCTCCGCCAGCCGGCCCTGCTGCAGGCGCAGGCGGTCGAGGCGCGCGCGCTGGGCCCACCACTGCACCAGCACATCGTCCGCCTCCGAGGTGTTGTACACAGGGACGATGCGATCAAAGTCGTTGCCAAACAGCTCGGTGTAGGCTTGCTCCGCCACCTGCGGCACACACAGGAGAGGCAGGCCAAGGATGACGATCATACCCTGTCCCCTGGAGTCAGCTGGCACGCACAGCCGCGCATCTGCCCTCCTCTGTGGCAAAGAACAGCAAAGAACATTGCAAGAGGAGGAAGCTGTGCGCCAGCCCTTGGCCGCCCTGCCGACCTGCATCCGGCGGTGGCGGTGCTCCAGGCGCTGCCGCTGCTTCACGCTTGTCAGCCGCGCCAGCGCCTTGCCCTGCACGGCCGGGAGCGGCGGGGCAGCAGGCTGTGGTGACGACCCCTCCTTTCATCGCGTGCTGTGCTGCCTATACTGGAAAGGCGTCCCCCTCGACTCCAGCTCAGCCGCAGTGGCATAGCAGCACAGCACAGAACCAGCCGACCCGCCCTCCAGCAGCCTCCCAGCCCTCCAGCAGCCCCCCGGGCCGGGCACCTTGGTGACGAATCCGTCCAGGACGTCCAGGCTGAGCCTGGGGGTCGCCTTGATCTTGGTGGGCATGTGCCAGACCCAGGGGCTGTCCACGTGGCTGCTTGGCAGGAGAACACAGCAGGAGAACACAGCATGACGCAGGGAGGGTTTGCCAGCCACCCGGCCATTCGTCAAACAAAAACCAAGCCCGGCGAGGGCTCCCTCAGGCACGCATGCTGTCCATCCCCGTCCTGCTTTCCTCTACAAGGAGCTCGTCTCCCAGCCGCCCCGTCAGGCCCCACCTGTACGTAAACTCCTCCACCGCCGCATCCACGACCAGCACTGTGTAGAACTGGGCGGCGTCTGCGGTCTGCACCAGCGGCAGCGGCTCCGCCAGCTCATCCCACTCTGTCGCGCCGCCCTGGGCGCTGTAGCTCGAGCCGCCCTTGCCCTGCTGCTCCAGGTCCAGGATCGGCTCGTCGGCGCCGTTGCGCTTCTCGGTGCTGCCGCTGCGGTGAGGGGCCTCGGGGAAGGCGCCGCTGGCCTGCTGCTCAAACGGGGAGGGCTCCGGGGCGGGCTTGGGGCTGTAGTGCTGCCGCAGGCCGCCGGTGCCGGCAGCAGGGGCCTTGGGCACGCTGTGGCTGCTCGCCTCCACCCCCTCCTGCTCCGGCCGCTGCGGCAGCGGCAGGCTGGCGCCGCTGGCCTCCACTTGCTGCGCCGGCGGCCGCGGCGGGCGCCTTGGCGGCGACGGCACTCGCGGCTGCCCCGACGGCTCCCGCGCCGCGTCGCTGGTTGTGCTGTTGCGGTCTTCCAGGGCGACCGTGGCCTGCACGCTGCGCACGCTGCCGCCACCCAGCACCAGGTCGCTGGGAGAGCCCCTCCCCGCGGCCACGCC